CATACCCACAAGAAAGGAAAAGAACGTCTGAAAAAGCAGTCAGGCCGTTGGAAGCCGAAAAGCATGGTCCAGTGGCTGCTTCTTTTCTTCTTTTCTCGCTCGGCCTCTTCCCCCCCCCACCACTCACATTGGAGTTCATTTTCCTGCGCTAACAGCGTCTATTCTCGTGTCCTCCAGCTGCAGTTGGCGCACGTTGAGCAAAAGACATGTCTATCCCAGTTCTATTGAATCTTTTCTCTAGCTCCATCACTTTGAAAAACATGTCGACTCATAACCCCGCCAACCCTTACACCGATTAGTAAGACGTGGAAGAAGAAAAGGGGGAGTGAAATGATTGTAGCCTAGCGAATCAGGGATATGCCACGCGACAATGCCGCCTTTAGCTACGGGCGAGCGCAATGTCTCGCTTAAGGAGCTTTGTCCGCAGAGTCAAACACTGGTGTTCCTGCCGTGCCTCAAGTTCGCTTGTTTTCCTATGCTGTTTCTTATTTTTCCAAAAGAAAGTTTGTGACAGCGGTGAAAGTATGTGCATCCAAAATGCGTGTTTCAAATGTGAAAGAGGAAGAAGAAAGACAAAGGGCGGCTACACAGATGCTGATAATGAGCAGAAATGGTCCGTGCATGGAGAATAGTAGACAGTATAATAACGACAGCTGGGCGTGTGTGTATCTGTGAGCTGCGTGTCCGGACTTGCGCGCTGAGGCTGAACGCCACACGGCGCGTGCGTGTGCGCGTCCGAGTCAATCGACTGCTGGTATGAGATCAAGGCTGGGTACCCGAAAGACCATGGCTGGTCCACGTACTTAGCGTAGCATAGGCTTCGCTTGCTAGAGACCAGGGAAAAAATGATTGACGGACAATCCGTTGGTAGCGCGTGCCTACGTTGTTTACAGTAGTCTAGTGGCAGCCACAAACGATGGATGAATCGGGCAGGAAAGGCGGCATTGAGAGCTGCATGAATGACTTTCCGAGCTGAGATTTCGCATTCGCAACTACACCGGAATGCCACGCAATACCGTAAGCAATGATATTAGGTTCTGTGAACCCCTCATCTTAGCTGAGTTCTGACTAAACCATCGGTAATTTGGAATAAGCACTATGACAATCGCGATGCAGGATGATGTGTGAAATGAGATGTTTTTGCCATTGGGGCATCTATTTGGCGCCCTGCTCTGTTGAGCCTTCTGAACAAAGGAAATGAAAAAAGGGTATATCAGTGTGGTGAGTAATGAAGCTGCTATCCAAAAGGTCCAATCCCAAACGCCTTACAATGCAACCTTTGTCGCACTATGCAGCGTCTGTGTGCTATGCGAAATGCAAAAATGGATAAATGCTGGGATCAGCGTATACAACGGTGTACAGGGTGGGTGATCATGGCTCATCGACGGAAAACCTTCATGAAGCTGTGACGCTTGCTGATACTTGGGGTCATTGGCCTGTCATCTGGGATGGGTGGCGCCGGCGGCAGGTTCGTGTGCATGGTTGTGCTTTTGGCGAAAACGGAAAGAATTGGCTCAGACTTTTTGGTGCTCATTTTGCTTTTGTGGCTCATCTTGCTTATAGGCCTCTGGGCGACGCTCGAGTCATTGATGGCTACCGCAGAATCGATTGGACCATCACGTGGAACATCCGCGGCGGCGACTGGTTTTGGCACTGGCTCTGCCTTGGATTGTCCGCGGGAAAGCTGCATGCTACTCTTGGCCTTGGTCATGGCGGATTTGCGGGAGCTCTTGGTCGTGGCACGCTTGACAATGCTACCACCATTCTCTTCGGCGTGCTGGCGCTCTAGCCGCTCGATCTCGCCCAAGATGGTCATGCCGTTTGTAGCCAGGCTGTCTTCGGGAATGGGCACGAATTTGATAATACCTCGATCTGATGGAACGCCAATGGACTCGGCCATGAATGTCTGGATCAAAGCGGCATTGCGCTTGTTGGTCGTGGGCTGCACTTGAACGGGCAAGGCATTGATGGTGAGGACGTAAGTGGGCTCAAAGGACCCACCAAGGAGCAGGCATGCTGAATGGTTGACGGTAATCATGATGGATGTCTCGGGTCTTTGGTAGCGCGTGGAGAGATGGTGTGAAAGGTCAGTGACAAGGGTGTATTCATCTTTGATCTGCACCAGGTTGGTGGTTAGTGCATGTACAAACGGAGCGGAACTGGGGAAATGGAGCACATACAATAACATTTGTCCGCAGCTCTGCTACAATGGGGGCATCCTTGGTGACACGATCGCGAGCAGACGATATGTCTGAGCCTCTGTCGACGAATTGACTCTCGTAGAACTGGGCACGGGCACGTGAGGTCATGGGTCGCAGGGAGCCAGGAGCATGAGGCGCCGTGTCTCGTGGTGGATATTGACGCGAATTGTCGGGAACATCGATGACGGAATGGGGCGAGGATGCAAAGGAGAAGTTTGAAGCGGATGGTGACTGGGGGCCTCCGGCGGGGTTGTTGTCGGGAGACAGTAGGGCGGCGCCAGCCTGTTTGGGAAACGCAGTGGCGGATTGGGTGGAAGTGGATGAGGGCCGCGACATCTTGGTCTGACTGGAGGTGGAATTATTGGCTGAGTGGGGCATGGCAGAGAGGGAGATGATGGGCAGGTGCAATGTTTGCCTGGGGAGCCGCGAGTGGACAACCAAGAGTCGAGATAGACGGGATTGGTCCAGAGATAGATAAAGGCTGCAAGAGGGCGGGGCGGCCAGCAAACGCTCGTCTTTTGATGTTTCTGTGCGATAGAGAAGAGGGCGGTCCGAGAGTCGAAACGGGTATTGACGACGGTGACGGTAGTGGTGGTCGTGGTACCAGTTGTGCCAGTAATGCCAGTGGTGACAGTGGTGACAGTGATGGGGCGGTCCCTGCAGTGGCTGTGGGTGAGGGTGAAGGCGAAGGCGAGGGCGGGCAGTGGGCAGGTGAGGGGGGTGGGGGAGGAGAAGAAAAAAAAGACAGCAAGGTTGCCGGGGCGGCAGTGGCAGCGTGAGGAGAACAGATTTATGGCGAGCCAGTGTATGATATACGACGGCCTACTTGGGTAGGCGTCTGGGTTGACGGGCTCGCCGCATGCCACACTACTATCGGATACATGGACAGGGGTGTGTGGGAGCAGCACCAGCGCGCGGGCCTGGCGCCGGCAAGCTTTAGGGTTGGAGCTGGGGGTGTGTGTGAGGATGAGATGAGCATTAGCAAGAGGGAGCTAGTTTGTAGGCGGTAGAGTATGTAAGAGCAAGCCATCTGATGTGAGACTGGGCTGATCATCACCCCGGCACTGGACTGGCTGCATTCTGCCTCGCCATCATCACCCATGAAGCCTCTGGCTCTGGGCGCGCACACAAAGGGCCGCAACCTCTCAGCAAGCCACAATGTCGCTACTGGGCATGCCAATGTGCCTTGCATCCCCTCTCACTCTCTGCCCTCACCGCGCTTTGCCCTCACCGCGCCTACACAGTCAGCCACCATCGTCTACGGCTGAGAGATCAATGTCGACACACACACACTCGCTCGTACTTGTTGTTATTGTTGTTGTCTTGCCTGCACGACCACGCACCACCAGTCGCCCGGCGCGGGCTGCTAGTTTAAGGCGCCATAGAATAAAGTAAAGAAAAGACTACTTACCTACATTGGGGGCCGGTTCTGCTACCCCACCTCACCCGGCCCAGCCTGTGTGCACCGCCGTCGTCGTGACCACGTCGCCCACACGTCGACAATCTGAACAGGGCCAGACGTCGAGGCGTCCACACTCCAAATGTCTAGATGTTGCCCCTCGGCAGCCACCAGACCGCGACGTCGTCTACCCTGACCCACCAGAGCCCACCGTATGCCGCTTTCAGCCTGCTGCCCTTCCGCATCCAGCGCCATGTCCGCCACTCGCTCGCCATGCATACCATGAATAGCTACATAGGCATCCCACATCCAATCCTACACACAACTACACCGACATCCCACCGCAGATAGCGAGCCGCTGCATCCACCCGCTGCCGGCTCATCTGCGCCTCCAGCTCGGCTGGCCAAAGTGACATGCTCAAAAAAACTAGACAAGCCAGCGCTAAGCCACCAAGAGCGTACAAGCAATCATCCAAATTGCCCCTTTGGCTGCAAATCTGCCTCTGCGCTTCTGCGCGCTTCTGCTGATGCTGCCACACGCCCGTCGGTTACACGCCCATCTGTGTGCGACGTGTCAGGCGCCCTGCACCCCAGGACCCTTTGAATCGTCTGCTGCCAGTGCTGTGCAACTCTGCCCTTTGCAATGCAATCTCATGTACCACCCTGTGTCTACGCCTGCCTGTCTTTGTTTCTCTGAAACCACGCCTCTGCACCCATTCTCCCCACCATGGCACGCCGCTGCTCGCCTCGTCGCACGGTGCAGTTGCCCATGGTGCCATGCTTGACCACTTGTAGCACTCGTGCAGCTGTTCATTTAACTTTACCGGCTTTGCCAATACGAGTTGAACGCCGCGACCGTGCGGCCCGTTTGGTGGAATCGTGATTTGCGATCAAGCTTTCAAAAGCAGATTGGCCGTAGGCTGAGGGCAGGGGTTGGTTCTATATATTCTTGTACGCCTTACTGGATCCATCAGCCCATGTTCCCGGCCATGTACCATGTATGTATGGAGCGACGGTAAAATGGTAGAAACTACACGCACAAACTTGTGTACGTATCAAGTACAACACAACACCTACACGCATGATTGCGGCAACGTCGGCACCATCGGCACAATAGATCACACCCCGCTGACTCTTACGCCCGGTAGCGCCATGCAAGTATATCGGCCGTTTTGCACGTCACAAGGAATATATCCATCAAAGTCGTAGTCTTCCTAACATAATCGATGACGTCGCGGTACCAGTGTTGTGTAGCACAGGTCATGTGCACGTGAGAGCGCGTGCCCATCGTCTTTGGCTTTGGCTTTGGCCGCATCATCAACACGCGCCATCGCACTGCCCACCCCAATCGACCGGCCCCCCTCCTCCCTAACCTGATTGAGGCCTCAGTAACATCCATCATGCCTCCAAAAGCTGCCGGAGCCAATGCTGCGCGAAGAAAAGGTCCTGCCTTCAATCCCCCGCGTCCTGTCAACGCCGCTCCCCAAGCCTCCTCTTCCACCACTGCAAAACGCGCTCCTGCACCAGTGGCATCCCGCGCAACTGCCGCTGCAAACAAAAAGAATGCCTTTCAGCCAGCAACTGACGTCATCGATCTTTCTGACGACGACGCGCCTGAAGAACTCATAGATCAAATTGATAGCGACGACTTCGACTCCATAATGGAAGACGTCGGGCCTGCGACTGCACCAGCTCGCTCAAAGCCCCCGCCAGCCAAGACGACCTTGTCTGACCCCGTCGTACCTCGGCCGCTGCTCGCGCGTCTGCTCCTCGAAAACTTTGAGGATCCCGATATGCAGATACAGACGGGCGCAATGAAGCTTGTGGGCAAGTACATTGACATCTTCGTCACAGAGGCCTTCTTGAGGAGCAAGGACGAAAGAAAAACGACAGCCAAGAACGGCGGTCTTGTCGATGGCTTCTTACAAGTCGAGGACTTGGAGAAGTTGGCACCACAGCTTGTGCTCGACTTTTGAGCAGCCGGCTGATTTGTTATAAAGACCTACGTGGTTTGGTGCCGCAACATATCCATAAAACATACTTGAATAGCCAGGATCAGCAGCCATGGCGAGTTTGTGATATTATCGCCATGAGTAGCCCGAGGCCTGCCCATGTGCATGTGCAGACTCGGAAGCCTTTCCTTCCTTCCATGACAAGATTCGTTTGGATTCATTGGATACAAGGAGCCCTCGCGGCTCTGCAGCTCGTCTAAATATGGCGCGAAAATGGAGTCGTCGCATTAGAGGTACCACGCAATTCACCACTCGGCAGCGGCTACGCCATCAGGCCAAGGCATGCATTCATAATGATAGCCACAGCCATGTGCAGTCATCTCCCTCTGTAGAGTCGATACAAGACTGAAACGACCAGCAAGCGAATAAAGGATCCAACATTTTGACGTGTTTGAAACATCTGGCCGTACTTCCTCAATCCCAACATCTTCTCCAACGCCATTGTCCACATGGCCAAGAACAAGTGCTGTGGTGCAATCTCGCAAACAGAAGTTCCGGCTGCTTAGCCTAGTCGGTTTAATGATTGCCGTTGCGACGCGCAGCCTGAAGCATAACATGACAGGGCTCAAACACGCACGGAACGTGGAGCGTGTCGCATCGTCCACACCCCGGCACCAACTCTTCGAACAACAGCGTCACAACATGGTTTATACCACACAATGGCTCGTCAAGTGCATACAACTCAATATTCGTAGCGCATGGTCGCTCCAGTTCTATGTATTCCCTGGTGCGTAAGAACAATTAGAATCAGTCTTGTCGGCTCAAGTACGAGCTATCCTTAATGATCCTTCTGTTAAGCCTCATTTTGCAGGGTTTGTACTGAATCGAGAGGCTGAAGCACTCTGCGCCTCCAACCTGTCGCAACCCCAACCCCATGTAACGGAAAACCTGTTAACCGCCGTGCCAACGCATGGCAAACCTTTCATGCCTTAAGACGGCCCCGGGCCGTCACTTCAGGCTTCTCTTTTTCACTCCTGCATCCCACGTTTTCTCCTTACTTTGTTGCGGATTTCCTTTGCATCTTCTTTTCTTCTCCAAACCTCACGGTCTTTCACCATTATCTCCTAATACACCTGTTGGCTAGTCCAACGGTTACTTTGACGAACTTCAGAGCGCTAGTCGCCTTTGCACTCTCTTGACGAGACTTTCAATACTACAAACACAATCGCCCATTTAATACTCGAGTCGCCTTTTGAAAGAAAAGAAAAAAGTCACAGTTATTCAATATGTACTTCTCAACAACAGCTATCGTTTCGGCCATTTTCGGTCTCGCCGCCGCTCAAGGAGGAATGCTCAGAATGCACGTTGTCCAGGTCGGCGGACCCAATGGCTCTTTGGCCTTTTACCCAAACAATATCGCGGCTCAGCCAGGCGACATGGTTCAGTTCCAGTTCCACCCAAAGGTATGCCTAGTCACCGTTTTCTGCGCCTGGTTGTGTCCTTGAGCTAATCATTCCAATAGAATCATTCCGTCGTCCAATCCACCTTCGACAACCCTTGCATACCCATCCAAAACGTCATGCCCAACAAGACCGACGCCTTCTTCTCTGGTTTCATGCCTACCAACGCTTCCTTCACCGCAACGAACCAGGTCCTGACCTACACTATTCGTGTTCCCGACGCGAAGCCTATCTGGTTCTACTGTTCTCAGGGTAAACATTGCCAGAATGGTATGGTTGGAGCCATCAACGCGTAAGTCAATCACCTCTCTGTAATTCAATTCGTTTTGAGGCAGAAACTGACTATATCAAATAGACCTGCAGCCGGTAACAAGACCATCCAAGCATTCACTGCCCTTGCTGCTCAAGCCTCGGAGAACCTGTCTCCTGGCCAACCTGCTGGATCCGGTGGCATTACTGGCAATACACCCACCTCACCATCTGCTGGAAACGGCGCCGACTCTGGCAATGGACAAGGAGGTGCTGCTGGCGGAAATGGGGCTGGAGCTGGAGCTGGTGCCGGAGCTGGAAGCGGAAGCGGAACCGGTGCCTCCCCTCCCCAGACTACTACCAGCAACGCCTCTGGCCTCAGCACACAATCCTTCGTCAGCGTTGCTGCTGCTTTTGTTGCAGTTGCCTTTGCTTCATTGTAAACAGAGTACAAGTCTTGCGGGCGGATTTTGAGATAGTTGACGGCACATATGATACCATTCTTCTGATAACTGAGCTGGCTTTGGTAAAAGGACTCAGATTTGGGGGGGCGTTTTTTTTGTTCGATTGATCGAATGCATATAGCAATTAATATAAGACAAATGTACTGTATTCAGTACTCTACCAGCCTTCATACCCGATATTTCTGAATATAAGCGTTCTATGAGTAATGTCAATCCAAGCATGCCGGGACGCACGGTGTAACGGGACGGTTTTTGCTTTGAAGTCTCGCTATCTCTCATTTGCAGAATTATTAACCTATAGTCGGCAAGTTAATGTTCTAGAGCTGGTTCCCTTCTATAGTATCAGTCTCCGGCACGAATTTTCGTAATGTTAGCCTTACTATCGATCGTTTTGTTAACGCTGCTGATCGACCTTTCGTTAATACTCCCCTGTCTTCTCGTGATATAAAGGACGTATGTAAAGACCGGAGGGTCTATTAGAAAGTAGAGTTCTTAAAGAAGGTATTCTAGAGATTTAAAGGATATCTTAACCTAAGAAGTATATAGTCCGGCAGTTTCGCCGATGAAAACGATGACCGCCAAAAGCGTTCCAGCGTGTCGGCCCTCTCTAGCGTCTCTTAGCATGCAGGCTGCGCGCAGTAGCGTGCTCAGATGTTGCCGTATAGTATCGTAACGAATTCGACGCTATACCCGTAGCAGCTCACCTGCTAAGAATAGCCGTCGCGCGTGGCGGCTTTCAAGAAGTCTCTACGCTTAGGTTCATCTTTTCCGTCCTGTGTTGGTATACTAGGCTAGGCAACATCAACGCGCTTCGGATCTTTGCTACCCTGTTAAGCTCGCAACGCTAAAGACGCGTTCTACATGCGCATGAAGCCACAACTACCCCTCCCAAGGCCTCGTGCGATGCCGTCGCCATCCCAAGAAACCCACACAGCGCGCTCGACTCAGCTCGCGCATTTGAGAAGGCTGTTCTACCACCAAGACATCTAGAGCTGCACGGCTATCTATTCCCCTCCTTTTACGCCAACCTCTACAGCGCATAATACGGCCACCACGCCCTCGTCCTACTAGGCTACCACATCAAACCTCTCGCGTCTCGTTCACACTGCGTGCCCACCACACACCTATACGAGTCGATGCGTCTTCTAAGGTACAAAGACGATAGCCGCCTTACTATTACTAGCTTCGACGATAACGCGATACCCTAATATGCGATACTTTTACATACCTAGGGAGTAGATATAGAGAAGGTAACTTTTACAGATCTTACAGAATGCGGCAGCATATACAAGCCTAGCTACAAGAAGATTCGCTTCTATAGGGAGTAAGCATAGTAAGATAGATTACAGTACTTCTAGGTTAATGTATACTACATCGACAAGTCGGATAAGGCTAAGCTCTTTTCAGCTATCTAGTCTATATTCCGCTAGTACCAAAATGCGACCAAGTGCTATGTATATTTATCAGATGTATCAGCAGAACAGACAAAAGCTGGCAGTTTGTCCAGCCCGACAGGTAGTCTGATTAGACAGCTATTCCAGCATGAAGAGCTAGAAGCAATTAGTATTACTAGGCCAACTCTAAGCGAGGAGTGGAGCGCGTGTCTACAGACGCTTAAGGGCTATAGCCGTAAGGTCTTCTTAGTGGCCTTCTCGCCCGACTCGACGCGGCTGGCGTCGGCGTCCTACGATAGAACTATTAAGATCTGGGATACGAGCATCGGCACGTGTCTATAGATGCTCGAGGGCCACAGCGATTCTATCACCTTACCTACTAGCTCTTACCTCTACACCGAAATAGGCACTATTGATATTCAGAGCTTAGGGTACTCTAAGTTGACCTTACGTAGCAGCAGTCTTAATCTTTACTCTTTCGGCTTTCTCTCTAGCCTACCGAGTTTTTCGCAAATATGTACCATCGCAAACAGATAAGGGCGTGTTAGAGGAGAGTCTAGGGACAACGTTAATAGAGGGAGCGACAGCACGGTTGACGACACGTTTTTTGGCGTCGGAGATTGACTTGCTAAGAGAGTAAGGCCTGTAGAATAGATATGTGTTGTATTTATTTCTATTCGAGAACGCTTAGGGAAATCCGAAGGTCCGGAAGAGAAAGTGTCCCGTTACACCGTGCGTCCCGGCACACTTGGATTGACGTTAGTAGTTAGCTGCGCCTTTTGCTGAGGATCCCACCCGGCCATGCTTACACGGCAAGCCGATGCACACCACGCCCCCGTTCCGTCTAACCTTCATCCCTCCCACGCCCGACTGCCACGTGCGGCATCTCGGCGAACCACAGCAAAGTACGACACACCATGTAGTCACATTCTTGGACATGTGTAGCGAATAGGCTTGCGACTACCCGTCATCAATAATGCAGCACGGGATGAGTTGCGCGGCACTCATCGTCCGCCATGGCTTGATCCCTCTTATGTCTACATCTCAATATTGATTATGTCCGAGTAACAATGTCAGCTCAAGGCTTCTGGGGACGCTTCAATCTGAGGGACGATGATGGAAGGTCATGTATGAGAGTTGTACAGAATGCGTATGTAGGGTATGAGGTGAAAGAGTTGGAACAGCAGGGATATTGCAGTTGCACGTTGGTGGTTGCGCCTTTGAGCAACAAGAAGCGCAACGCGGTTGTGGATAAGGACCTGGCAGAGGAATTTGAAGAACGTAGAACAACAAGTGAGTTGATCGTTCAGCTCCGGCCTGCGCCTCACGCACTTGATCTCGACATTATGCACGTCGCAACCAAGACTTATCCATCACTGGCACCAACCGTCGCACTCCTGGACGTACGGCTACCTGGAGGCCTGAAGGCTTATGAGATGGACAGAATTTCCGGCACA